GAAAGATAGAGAGGGAGAGAAAGAGAGAGAGAGAAAGAGAGTGAGAAACAAAGTGAAAGAAGAAAGAAGAGAGTATATAGGAAAGCTTCGTAAACGTATTTTTGACTTGAGTGAGTGTTTAGAGCTGCATTGAACACCAAAAATTACCCTAAGTCTGTGGCCCAAGCGAATTCTTATGATCTGACAAGATTCAAGATGGATTTCTTTTTTCTTTTTTTTTAAATGCGATTGTTTGAATACGTTTAAAATCTTGTTTGCGCGTTCAAAATCATACACAACCTGCAATTATCATGTCCTTTCGTTCTTCCGTCACTTTCTGCCGAACTTATGCTGCCAATATTATACTTATACCATGTGACAGAAGAACGAGTTGCATTCACACAATGAAGGACTTCAAAATCATTAGTAATCGAACCACAGCCTTAATTCGTGGACTTCTAAACACTCCCTACTTAATCTTCACCTCACTCCTCCGGTTCCCCCCACCCTCGAACTCAAGTTTATTCGTGTAATCCATATATATCGTGTATAACCGTTGAATCGGCAATGGCGTTCAAAGAATCGACTATTTTTTAAAACGACTAAAGAAAAAAAATGAAGTATCGAGTGTCAAATTATTAAAGCGGATCAGGTCGGCGCGAGTTGATCAGCGTTTTAAAAGGCGGATTCAACGTGCAGGGTCGCGAGAACCATTTTGTCCCAATTATACTGTTCGAGTATCTAATTAGCGCTAAAAGAGAAAAAAGAAAGGAACGAAATGAAAAAAGAAAAAAAAAAGAAACAAGTGAACAGATTTGCTCTTTTAACTTCCATGAAGTTTCGTCTCGTTTCGCTAAAACTTTCTATAAGAAAAAAAAGAAAAAAAAAAAATGGTAACGAACACGTTCCCCGGAAGTTTTTAACCGTGGGGTTAACACGCGAGCATACTTATAAATACGAATATAAATATAAATATATAAATATACGTATAAATATATAAATATAAATACTTCTGGAATTAACGGGGTAGAGAAAGCTCGAACGAGATATGATCGTCATTATTACTATTATCGCATTAATTATCACTATGACGCAAAGACACACGGATTGTACGGGAAAAGAACGCGAGATGTCGTTATTAAAATAGTTATGGCCGAGCTAGCTGAATCCGTCGGACCACGTATGGTGTACTCGATTCTGGCGAAGCGAGCTTCGTCCATGAAATATACCAAGGGGAACGAATCGAGATCGAGAATAGTACAGAAGTTTGAGCACAAGGTAGAAGACGAGAATAATCTGTGGAGAGAAGAAAAGAAAGGTAGAGCGCGAGAAAGAAAAAGAGTGAAAGAGATATGGATAGTGAGAAAGGAAGAGTGGGTGCGTGAGACAAACGTGTAAGAGAAGAAGAGAGAAAGAACAAAGGAGAAAAAGAGATCGAATGAATGTGCAGTCAGTCATGCTACAGCTACTACGACCACTACCCTAAGTAGATTATGCTACTTCGCCGCTGATCTAATTGTTTACTGTCACGTGTTGCTGTAAACCTAAACTAACGATACGATATATTTTATTTATATAATCTAATCGACTGTATTTATTGTAAATAGTCACGATGTTTGCTATGATATAATATATCTGTAATTGGATGGAACTTGCCTGGAAACTGCGCCCACAGCCCTGTCCTCTATGATCAATGTCTCTCTGTACACGTTCACACACACATCAGACTGGCGCGTGTCTCTAACACGCGTGCATGCAACACGTATACGGATACATGCAAAGGTCCATAGGTATTATATGTATATGTATACAGTAAACCGGTTAAGCGTCCGAGAATCGAATCTAAAAATGAAAACGAAAAAGTTTTAAAATTCCGAAAAAAATTGCAAATAAAGTTTACAAGTTTCAAAAGTCACATTGTAATGTTTAATTAAGTATAGAAGAATAGTAAACGCTGATACAAAATTCTTACTGCTTGCATTCTCTCTTACATTGGTTGCTCGATTCAGAGGAATATAAAATTTTCGTGAAAATTTTAGTATTTGCTATCGTGAATCATCGGCACTCCGGGAAGAAACATAGTAATTGGAGAAACTGCTACATACTTGTTTCGATTAATAAGAAGCGGGAGGCACGACTAATGGGCGTTTATCCGAGGAAAAGTGGACACTTATCCGGGGACTACTGTACATGGTAACGAAGATAGATGTCGTCGAGACACTCATGGGACAAAAAGAAGGTGCGAAGCACAGGTGCAGCTCGCGTAACCCAGCGACGATGGGAGAAATACAGACAAAAAAATTCTCTGTGTCGCGTTCGACGAATTATTACAATGTCAATATTTCGCGTCGCATAATATAACAATGAGATTACCCTCGTCGGAACTCTACCCACTATTATTATTACTATTACGATCAATTTCATGAAACTCAGTAAATTCGGCACGCAACAAAGGTCCATTTTCGGGGATGAAAGCGAACGATGGTCAGACAGAATTTTTATAATCGTATTATCTAGCCGTATCACATGATGGAAAAAAAGCCCTCAATGAAACTGCCATCCATCGACTGATGGATTTATTTGTTAGAGAGACGAGAAAGGGAAGTTTTTCGAAACAAATCCCGCTGTCGTACACATGTGTCGCGAAAACCCAACCAGCATGTCCAGTAACAATTACAATATTACTATCATAAGTACAATATATTAAGTGTTTTCAGAAAATATATGATCTATATATGATAATAAAAGCGGGAAAACGTTTCATAGCGAGTTTGTCATTCTCTCATCTCACTGGTCCTCGTTCACCTTCGCCTCATTCCGTATAAAATTTAATCATTTCTCATGTTCTCTTGATGTTTTGGTTTAGATTGACCAGCTTATTAATCAACATCCGTCACTGTCTCTTCATTCTGGCAAGTATGCAGAGTACCAAAAGAAAACTGGCTAACTGAAATGAAAGGTGAATTAGACGATTTTGATCTTATCGTGGTCTCGGTATTAAAATATGTGGGCTCGGAGGTAAATTCGATGTACAGAAATGATAAAAATTTATATAAATAGTTACTCCGTTTGATTGTTTTTAGTTACAGATACTTTCGTGTATGCACAAGTTTACAAATTATTACAAATTACCAGGAACTGTCGTAGTTTCTGCGGACTTTATGTGTAAACATATGTGTTAAATTATCTTAAGCAGAAAATAAAAATTGAAAAAAAGGGACTTGCTATTTGTTGATAACGTATACTGTGTAAGAAGAAGAAAATAGCTAGCGGAACTAAATAGGAACAAGGAACGTAATTTGTTTGCTCCTTTGATACTGCCGAAATCCCTATTTTTAAATTTTGAACGGCATATACTTGACTGTGTAGTAAGATACATTAGTCAGTATTTTTTTTGTCTTGTATTAATGATCCACGTTAATTCTATTTCTACGCCAATACTCAGTATTGCTCGTTATTAGTATAGTCTAGTCAATCTTAATATGTTACTAAAAAATGAATTATTTAGTGCATGTAGAAATGTTTATAAGAATTGTTTTAATAATTTTTATGTAGAAAATTTATCCCTAAATTCATATCCACATATTTTAATAAATTCTATATATTAACGTAAGGAAATATTCGACTCACTATTATTACAAAGATCGACAGCACGGACAAACTCATCGTGTGCATATAAGACTTCATTAGTAGTACAGCGTTCTTCAGGCATCCTGCTTTGTAAGCTACAGCTTCTGTCATTTGTAGACACTATAAACAATTTTTGAGTTTTGTTGTAAAGTGAATATGGATGAGAAAGTAGAAATGTATTACGTACCAAACTTCTGTTAACAAAATTTTACAATAAGGCAAATAGATATTTTGTAGATAACACAAGATTAAAAAATATTCAATGATAATACAAAATAGTTTCAAGATCACCTGACTACCTTTTACGGTCTTTTAATAATTTTATGTAATATATCATTTAGCTTTTCGAAAAGTGAAGAAGATAAACTATATTATTATATAATATGAAAAATCTTATTTGTTAATATTTTTTGGATCCAATAATTTTAAAAACTCTATATTTTGCAGAAACGTCTTTTTCTAAACTAAGATCGATATTAATATAATTTATCCCATTTATTAATTATTACGTTGAAAAGATTTACTTCTTCGATGGATTTTGAGCAACAACTTCTTGGAATGTCAACGTGATATTTCGCCCAGTCATTTGCGGATTTTATTCCACAGCATTTCAGCTAAAATACAGACTTTAATCGTTAGTTTTCGACAGAAAAGTGAGAAAACAAGATAAGTACACAAAAATTAATATCTTACATAAATATGAGTATTATCCCAAGCTTCTCTGCTCAAAGATGAAGAATAATATCCTTCAATGGAGGCGCTCATGTCGTTTTGAATTTTCTTTATGATTTCTTCGAAGATCCAGAAACTCATTATAGCACAGATATATATGATGCAGAGAAATAACAAGTAACACAATGCATACTGCAAAGAAATAGTTTTTTAATATTTTGTAATTTCATACTATTTTTATTAACATAGATATCACCTAGCATAGGTAATAAATATATAAAAAATATAAAAAACAAAGCATTTTATATTTCCTTATAATTAAATATTTTTCAACAATTTTCTGTTACCGCAAATATACTACAAACTAGTATTGCTTATTTAATTACTAGTTCATTCATAATATAAAAGTGCAACTTACAATATTTAAGAATTTTCTCTTTTTTCGGAGTAAACCAAGAATTCCCAGTAACGATACTAGTGAAGCAATTATACTGACAAATAATAGAGATGTAATAAAAAAGCGTTGATCAATTAATCTCGACATTATTCTATTGTCAGTGAGGATCCATATCGAAGTTACAATGCCAATGATGCCTGCAAGCTTTAACTATTTCTTAAAAACATTTATATTATTTTATTTACAACGTGATGATAATTTACTCCTAATTATGTTGTTCTAATAAACTAACAAACGTCGCAGTATTGATCATTAAAAATATTAGTTTAATGCATCGATGTGATAAATTATTATGCGAAAATTTATAGAAAGATATTCCCAGAAAATGTGATTTTTTATCTGTTGAAACGGTTCCGTTACTGTCAGTAATGTCTTCATCATCCTCCGTTTCCGTTTCATCTACATTTCCGTGATCCCCATGATCTGGTGTACCAGTAAAAAATTTGTTCCAATTCATGGATATAATATAACCCTAATACTGCTAATATAATAAATGAGTAAAAATGATTAGAAAATAATAAAAGTATTATTATATAAATAGATAATTATTATCTAAATTAAGAATTACATTCTATTCAAAATGTAACGCAATTAATAAAGTTGAACTTTATACTTAATGCAATTTTATATTTTCACAAATATTGTATTTTATAGATACCTTTTTAAATGATTATATAGAGAATGCAACGTGCACAGTTTTGTTTGCCCCTCTGAAATATTTTCCTAAAATATATTAATTGTGATTTTTTCCATTTTCATGGTAACGCTTAATGAAAATAAAACATTTTTATTTTTTTAGTTTAAGAATTAACAATTAATAGCAAGAATATTTAAACAATATGTTTATTTCCAGTAATTTAACAATTTAGATTTAAATCCAGATTTTTGTAAAAATACCTCTAGTTATTTATTTTACAATGTTACACATTCTGTAATCTCAGTATTTAGAATGGAAGTAGCTAGATATAAAAACCTTTTCGCGCGTTTTCTGTGTATACAACTGTTAATGTTCATGACCAAGATAAGTATTTAATAATTCTGTCATTTAAAATACAATAAGACAAGATGAGCAAGAAACAATTTTTAGGACCACCCGTTGCAAAAAGGGCAAAACAGCGGTACTTATTAGCAACATTTGTTAACAAACTTATTTTAACCTCATTTCATTTTAACCTATTTCATTTTAACTTCATTTAAAGTATAAAACAAAGTCTGCAATTAAATAAATTCAATACGATAATTTTTATTGTGACAATTACTACAGATGAAATAACAATTTTTATTAAATGATTTTTTATATGAATTTTTTATTGCGTCTTTATTGCTCTGTATTCTTTAATTGTTCTTGTATTAGTAATAATTTTTTTTATGTATCTTCTTTTAATTTCTTTATTTATTGACAGAGATGAAAATAAAAATGATTATCCTGGTTCTTTTGAGGCTGAATTAGCTATTATGGATGAAATGGATGAGGAATTTGGAGATATGTTACAAATTATAGGAGAGGTATATAAACATTAAATAAAGTTTTATAATTTATTATATTTATTATTTAACAAGTTATAATATGAAACTATTTAAAAGTAATATTTATTTAACTCATATTACTATAGTTTTATATATACAATTTAATTAATATTTTATTATTTTAGCCAACTGATGTACAATTAAATAAATCAGAGGCAGTGAGTTAATCTGTATAACAGAAAGATATTCATAACAATATGCATTGGTCTACTTATTACATTTGTTAAATGCATCAAATTATTAGAATCATATTATAAACATTATTAATCTCTAATTTTTATTTATGTGTCTATTTTCTCGTGCATATAATAACTCATATTTTGTTTCATTTGCATAATAATATATGATATATTTTACTTGTTACAATTTATGTAATGTTAAAACAATTGTTTTGCTTGATGTTGCTTTTAATTTGTAAATGCTAACTACTTCTCCCATAAGTTATATATATTTTTGTATGTATTATATGTATTACTTAACATAATTATAAAATATTTTTATTATCAGGGACCTGAACAAGAAAATACATCATTAAAATGGAGCAGACCTCAACCTCCACAATTGAATCCACTAAAGGATGCATTAATTTTTCAACAAATAGATATTGACCACTATAATGGTGAGTAGTGCTATAAATACCAAGATAAACAAATTTTATCTTAATAGTTAAAATTAATGTCAAGTTCCTTTTTAAGGCACACCATTACATGGAATGCCAGGCAGTAATATAGCTCCTGTACCAATAATGAGAATGTTTGGCGTTACAGAATTAGGAAATTCAGTTTGTTGTCATATTCACGGATTTAGTCCTTATTTATATGTTACAGCACCACAAAATTTTAATGAACATCATTGTAGATTATTTAAGGTATATAATTCTGAAAATTAATAGTATAATTCAAACAAATGTATCACATCATTTTATTATCCTAAAATATTTAGGAAACTTTAAATAAAACTATGTTAAAAGAAATGAGATCAAATCCAGAAAATGTTCAAGTGGCTGTGCTAGCTGTGGAACGAGTGTATAAGCAAAGCATGTATGGCTATGCAGGATGTGAGAAATCATTATTTTTAAAAATCACAGTAGCACTTCCCAGATTAGTATCACTTTGTAAGAAAGTGGTAGAAAGTGAAACTCTTTTATCTGAATTTGATCATAAGTACACTGCTTTTGAAAGCAATATTGATTTTGATATTAGGTAAATATCACAAATCAAATAGATATACAAAATGAATTTATCTTCGTAATTTCTGTTTTTACTAATTAGTTAATTATTTATTTAAGATTTATGGTTGACACATCAGTAGTTGGATGTTCATGGATTGAATTACCACCAAAAACATGGAAACTTCGCCAACATTATGGACATAATTTACAACTGACTACAAGGTGTCAATTGGAAGTGGATATTGCATGGGATGCTTTCATTGCACATGCCCCAGAAGGAGAATGGTCAAAAATTGCACCATTTAGAATTCTTAGCTTTGATATTGAATGCGCGGGTCGCAAAGGTAAAATTTTCTTTTCCTTTAAGTCTATTTTTCTATATATTGGTAGAACATTTTTCTTTTGATGATTATATTATATGACAAATTCATATCATATTTTATTATAAATATAGGTATTTTTCCTGAACCAAATCATGATCCGATTATACAAATTGCTAATATGGTTATAAGACAAGGAGATCCAGACCCATTTCTGCGAAATATTTTTACCCTTGATACATGTGCACCAATTGTTGGTTCTCAAGTTTTAAGTTTTGATAAAGAACATAAAATGTTGGATGTATGAGTGTATTCTAAATCTAATTTTAAATTAATTATATTGAAACTCAACCAATATATTTTAATTCTATTTTATTTTCTTTTTTCTTTTAGAAATGGGCTGACTTTGTCAGACAGTTAGACCCCGATATTTTTACAGGATATAACATAAATAATTTTGATTTTCCTTATCTGATTAATCGGGCAAAGCATCTTAACGTAAAAGATTTTTGTTTTCTTGGACGAATAAAAAATATAAAATCCGTAATTAAAGTTAAAGTACTTCAGAATAAACAAATGGGTCGACGTGAAAATAAATCTATTAATTTCGAAGGACGAGTTCCATTTGATCTGTTACTGGTAAAAAGTTAAAATTATTATAAACTATAAAATTGCATGTAACAATAAATTTATATTTATATTTAGGTACTGGTCCGAGATTATAAGTTGAGATCTTATACTTTAAATGCTGTCTCTTATCATTTTCTACAAGAACAGAAAGAAGATGTCCATCACAGTATTATTACAGACTTACAAAATGGGGATGCACAAACACGTCGACGGCTGGCGGTTTACTGTTTAAAAGATGCATACTTGCCACTTAGATTGTTAGATAAATTAATGTGTATTTTCATCTACATGGAAATGGCAAGAGTCACTGGAGTTTCTATATCTTGTTTGTTAACTCGGGGACAACAAATAAAAGTCGTTTCACAATTATTAAGAAAGGTTGATAACAATAATAAGTCTGTTATTGATTATTATAAATTGTTATCAATTATAAATCTCTAGTATAAATATGTTAATTTCAGATTCGAGAAAAAGACTATGTAATGCCAGTTCATCATGGGCAAGCTAGTGACGAACAATTTGAAGGTGCAACGGTTATAGAACCAAAACGCGGCTATTATAATGATCCTATTGCAACTTTAGATTTCAATTCTCTGTATCCAAGTATTATCATGGCTCACAACTTGTGTTATAGTACATTGTTAAAGCAGGACAAACAAATTAAATACAAGGTTGATAAAGACAATGTGACTATAACTCCAATTGAATCAAAATTTATCAAAGCTTCTGTTAGAAAAGGAATTCTTCCAGAAATTTTAGAGAGTCTCTTGTCAGCTAGAAAGGCAGCAAAAGCAGAATTGAAGAAAGAGACTGATCCATTGAAACAAAAAGTTTTGGATGGTAGACAATATGCTTTAAAAGTGTCAGCCAATTCAGTTTATGGTTTCACTGGTGCACAAATGGGAAAATTGCCTTGTTTGGAGATTTCTGGTGTAAGATTTTAATATTTCAATTTCTTAAAAAGAAAAAACTTAGTAATTATATAATAACAAAACAATTTAATTTTTAGAGTGTCACTGCATATGGGCGTAGTATGATAGAACAAACAAAGCATGAAGTGGAACAGCAGTTCTGTGTTTCTAAAGGGTATAAAAATGATGCAGTAGTCATATATGGTGACACTGATTCTGTAATGGTTAAATTTGGTGTAAAAACAGTTGAAGAAGCCATGGAACTTGGTAGAGAAGCAGCAGAATATGTATCTTCAAAATTTTTAAAACCAATAAAATTAGAATTTGAAAAAGTATATTTTCCGTATTTATTAATTAACAAAAAACGATACGCTGGTCTATACTTTACTCGACCAGATAAATACGATAAAATGGACTGTAAAGGTCTGGAAACTGTACGAAGAGATAATTGTCCACTGGTAGCAAACATGATGAATACCTGTTTACAAAAATTACTCATTGACAGGTAACTGAATAATGCACTTATATAATAAAACAAAATTCTTTAATTTACTGCTTTTTCTCTTTTCTTTTTTGTTTTTTGTTTTTCTTGTAGAAATCCCAATGATGCTCTAAATTATGCCAAGGAGATTATAAGTGATCTTTTGTGTAATCGTATTGATATTTCGCAGTTAGTAGTTACAAAAGAATTAACTAAGACTGATTATGCAGCTAAACAAGCACATGTTGAATTAGCAGCAAAAATGAAAAAGCGAGATGCTGGAAATGCCCCAAAACTTGGTGACAGAGTTCCATATGTTTTTATACTAGCGGGCAGAGGTATGCCCGCTTATCAAAAGGCAGAAGATCCAATCTATGTTTTAGAAAACAATATTCCAATAGATACAAATTATTACTTAGAGAATCAGTTAGCCAAACCATTAGTACGTATTTTTGAGCCAATTCTTGGTGACAAGGCTGAATCACTTTTATTAAAAGGAGATCATACACGCACAAAATCAATTGTTACATCGAAAGTTGGTGCTTTGTCCGCATTTACACGTAAAAAGGAAATATGCTTAGGTTGTAAAGCCGTTTTAACACCAGAAAGGGAAAAGATGGCAGTATGTATACATTGTGAGCCAAATGAAGCAGAATTCTATCAAAATGAATTGTATTTAGGTAGAAAACTGGAAGAAAAATTTTGTAGATTATGGACAGAGTGCCAAAGATGTCAAGGAAGTCTTCATCAAGAAGTAATATGTACAAAGTTCGTTATGTTATTGACTTTACATTTTTCATAAATTATATTAGTTTATTACAATATTAAATCTAATATTATATTTTTTCAGTCGTGATTGCCCAATATTCTATATGAGAAAAAAGATTCAAGTGGAATTAGACACTCAGATTAAACGAATTGAAAGGTTTGGAATTCCAGCATGGTGAAGTTAGACTGAATAGTATAACAGGTATGTTTATAGTTGTTACTATTGCATGCAACAAAAATCCGTTTTATTTACATATGCTAATTTGATAAACATAATTTTAAGTACATTAATATTTGTTAAAGTAGAAATAGATAATGCAAGTTATTGAAACAAAATTAAATTAAAATAAATCACAAAACTTATAGAATTGACATAAAATATTTAATCCCTTTTGCAAGTTTGTTTTACAAATTATATATCAAATATTTATAAATTCTGATAACAATCTAATATAGTAATCATTTTTTTAATGATGGTATATAAATAGAAAAACTTTTTACATGTATATAAATACGTGTTCTATCCAAAAAATTTGAGAATTATTTAAATCGATTTTATTAATTAAAATAACTAATTAAAATGCAATTAATATTTGTGGAATATTTATTATGAAATAGTATTTATAAAGATTTTAAATACATAAATTAATTATCAAATCTTAGTACATTACTCAAAACGTTTGTTTGAACAATGTACTTAATTATTATTTAGTACTATTTGGTATTAAAATTAAATAATTCACTATTAAATAAAAATTAACGAGATGTATTTTATTTTTGTCAAATGTTAAATTCAAATATTACCATATTATAATACCAATTTTACTTTTATATGGCAGTATTATATTTTTCCAATTTTGTTTAATACATTTATAAACACTGTTCAAGATATTGTGCTGTATTTCTAAATCAGATTTTCTTCTTTTTGTATCATGTTTTCTTTTTTATAGAAAAGAACGTTTTTCACGTGTATCTTAGCATTATATAGATGAAATTAAACCAGTTACACATATTTACATAACTATTCACACAGTACGTCAAAATGTTGACATCTTAAACGATTTTCAATTTGACTGCAATATTTATAAATGACCTTTTTGATTAATATGATAAAAATGGTATATTTATATCAATATACATTACACTTTTCGTTGCCAATATAATAATAAATTTGTTATTTTTTGAAAAATTTATTAAAAGTCGATAAATTTTATATTGCTCCATAAAATAACAAAAATCGTTTATCCAAAGATTTTTGTGTAATTATCAGATAATAAAATATGCATAGTGTAATAACGATAAAACTATCCGATGATGATGCGGAAAAAAATATTTAAATTAAACAAATCTCTATGTATATTTTATTTTAAGTTGTATAGAAAGATAAAATTTTTGGTTTGTTTTTATTCCTTGCTTCATATTATGAAAATGGTAATAAATCATAGAGTAGTTTTTCGATGAAATTTGTAAGGCTATTTAAAATATAATTATAATAAATAAACATAATGATGTGCCCAGCTCTGCATGGGTCCTTCAATTTGACTGTCATATGACTAGTCTTTTTAGTAAGGCTTGGGTAAAAAAAGTTTTTTAATAATGTTAATCATTTTCTACTTTGCAGTGCATTTGACAACCAGTCCATTGCTTGATCAAGTCCTTCACCTTTTGTTGCAGATGTTTTGAAGATTTGGAATGTTCTGTTTTTAAGAGCATCTAATCCAAGTGCCTGATGTACCTCTGCGACACTTAAACACCCTGCCATGTCTTGTTTATTTGCCAGGACCACTAAAATGGCACCTTGCAATTCTTCTTCCTACAGTATTAATAATATTTCATGATTTTAAAAATGCAAAATTGCAAAATATACTCTGTATGTTGAAAACATCTTATATTAAATTGTAACGTTTATACATTGTTAATATTTTACAGAACATAATATTTAGATAAATAACTTCATATTTTTTTAAATACTTAATAATAATCTCTGTTAATAACAAAGAATACTTACTCTTAACATATAGATTAATTCATCTTTTGATATGCCTATCCTATCCTTGTCTGCCGAATCCACAACATAAATTATTGCATCTGTATTTGAATAATAACACCTCCAATATGGCCTGTAAATTTTAATATAATTACATCATTTTACATGCACTATATTACTTGTAAACTTTAAACAAAGTAAAACTAAACAAGATATATATTACTTTGAATCTATTTACCGTATACTAGTTTGACCTCCTAAATCCCATACTTGAAATTTTAAATTTTTATATGTGACCTGTTCTACATTAAATCCTATAGTAGGTATTGTTGTAACCACTTCACCAACCTGCAATCTAATAAATACAAGATTGAAAATAACTAGTTACATATATACTATGTCATGTTCATATCATATAGATGCGTATTAAATTTGTGGTTATAAACATTATTGGTTACAAACATTGAAATATAAAATATATGGTTCATTTACGTGAATAAGTACCAAAAAATAGTTAATTACAATATGATACCAAGTTGATAATGTGTATATGCTAGAACATAAACTGTCAAATGAAATGTAGTCAAGCTTGTCAATGTGAAGCACACCTGTACAGGATCGTGGTTTTCCCGGCTCCATCCAAGCCTAAAATTAAAATTCGCATTTCCCGGCTGCCAAGTAAATTACGAAAATAACTGAGTAATCCTCCTAAAAAGACAAAAGTGTCGAAATTATATACAAATGTAACCCAAAAAATCTCCACGAATTGTCCACCGATCAAATTTATATTCACTCAATAGAAACAGTGAAATTTCGGAAACATGTACCTTCGTGAATTATTACACAACTCACCCATATTGATAACGTATTATTTCCAATTCATATAGTATAAATTAAAGTTTATTGTCAAATATAATAATCACAACTATATCCACGTAACTGGGGCGCACACCCCTTTAACTGTCCACGGATGCAGTCCGCTTCAGATCACTTGCTGACTTGTATCATTGGTCGAACTCGTGTGAAGTTGTTTCTATTCTCTGTGCATCTCTTCGATACATGAACTAGTACACAAGTTGCTAATTTCAGAGTATTTTTATGTGTTGATCATTAAATAATACTTATATATTTATTTCTCGGTTTCTTTTATATAGTTCTACTAATTCTTTTATATACATGACTAATTATATTGTACTATAATTTAATATATGTACAAATATGCTTTTATATTTAAATATAATTAACAAACTATTTTATGAAACAAATGTAATAACTGTTATAAAGTCTACTAAGCTTTATACATATCTCTATAGAAACATTGCAAATAATGAAATTATATTTATAGTTATTTTAAAATATGTAATAAATATAATCTTATTTTATGTACGCCTTTACTAAGTTACTAAAATATCAGATCATTTATGGAAACAGCCCAACATTACATATTTATTAATGTTGAGGATTAATACTTGTTTAATTTTTAAAGTTATTCTTTCTACAGATATTATTTTTTGTTGATTCTTTACGCAATTTAACACCTGACTCAATAATTGATAACATATACGTATATTGTCACTAACGTTCGTTTGAAAGTCCTATGATGAACCTATGCAATAGTACACTATGTACACCGAGCTAGACCTATATGCATTATATATACAGATATTTGCGATATACATACACAAAGTTAACTATTCAAGATAAAATAATCAGCACTTCCGCAAATTTGATAGGAAATACACTACAAATAATGTATTTTCAACGTATCTAGAGATATTCTATTTTGAAAAGTAAAACTTAATGTAGATTAATATGAAATTTAATTTGATTGTATAAAATATCAATTGTATAAAAATATCATCTTTTTTTAAATTTAAATATATTTATGTATAAATTCAAATAATATACAGAAATGTATTTTAATAAAAAAAAACGAGTAAAATATGTACGTTGATAGTTTATACAATTTTTTGAATAATTTATTATAAGATGAAATAAATAACAAATTGTTTTCAAAACAAAAATTATTTAATATTAAACTTCTGCATGATTTATGCAAATACTATTATTCAATATTAAAACATATATTAAAATTTAAAATATACATTTCTAGCAGACATCTCAACTACATTAATACCTATCACGAGATTTTGGTTCTCATAAGCATTGATAGATGGCAGAGATATCGTCTTCCACGTTCGTTTCTTACATGAGAGGTTTTTTTGTAGTCTGGACCGAAAGTGGTTCTGCTGGGATGCTGCACAAACGCGGCGCCTGTGTTGCTAGTAATTGACAGCTGCCGAAAAGCGGCGACTCGGTCGGACGCGTGTGCAGATATGTTGTCTCGTTAATGAGATGGAAGATATTACTCGCGAAGGTTTAAAAGAAACAAGGTGAATCTGTTTTATTCTCGTGGCCTCGCGCTATTGTTGATTTCGACATATCATTGCTGCGTGATACAGTTTAAAAAGTTTCGTATGTGTTTACAGTTTCGCGAAACATCGTGGTGCACGTTTCGCCGTGGTTATGTATATTTTCGCGACATATTTCTTATTTACGTATCTTTTGATAGAGTAGTGCGAACAAAAAATGTTCATGCAACATGAACATTAAACGAAAACGAAGTTTTTGTTCATAATTTTATCAAGTGTTTCTGAAGTGTCCATCATACTGAATACATACATATGTTCATCCATACCAATACGCTAAAAAAAGTTCGGTAAGTTTCTAAAACTATCTTCCATTTATAATAATATAAAAAATAGTTGCTAAGATATTGTGTAAAAAATTATGTTTCGTAAATTATATTCCATATATTCGCTATAAATTTATAGTTTTATTCTATAATATAAATTGTACTATAATCATCGTAAATAAACGATATAATATTTGTAACATGAATGGTATTCGATAACCATTAAAAATTTTATTTAAAATTAAAAAACTTTATAAACGGGACAATTCAGAAAGTTTGCGTATTCTAACGCCTATTAACTGTCGGAAACCGGTTTTCCCGAAAATTAATTTTTTTCAAATACACACGACGTTTCGATGAGAGTACAAACGATTCCAGTGTTCAGTTTTGTCCCTTTACAGAAAGTCAAGTACCTACCGACTCTGATTCGTTCGGGAATCATACGGTACCACATAAATCTTCGTGAAAGAACGATTTGGACCTCTGAAAGGATTTACAGCTAACCGGTTACCGCGTAGGTTGCACACTCGCGAGAGCTCTCGTCTGATAGATCGTGATCCTCTTTCTCAGACTTTCGCCTGTTCAGTGACGTATACGGAGACACGTATATGGGTCCATGATCGAATTTTCCCTGTCTAATGTCGAATGCATAACCAAAAATCAATCGTCCCGTCAAAATGATACGTACAGGAATTAGACATGTTGCTCACGGTAGCCATATAATCCATGCGACTGACATGTGCATGTCGCACATGACAAGTATAATTAATGCATCGAACCGTGTACATTATTTGTAATTTCGAAACGTATTTGTTTGAAGCTTCTTGAACAATCGTAAACGCAGCGTTAGCTATCATAAATTTTAGTTGGCACCGAACGAATGCCTTTACCGCGATTTATTAAATCATCGATCGTTTACTTGCTCTGGGCCGCATTCGTGAATCTGCTGATTCATAACGATCCCATAAATCGTGATGATCTACGATCCCGCGGGGAGCATTTACGTGTATCCTACTGTAGCATCACGAAAGAAATCATGAAAAGAACTGTTACAAGTGGCCGGTAAGGTACGCCGCTGTCCTCAATGATACGCGACGAAGGAATGCATCTGGGGGATCGGTGTGTCGCTGGATCGATAGGACAGAGAGTGGAATGGAGGAACGTATAAAGTAATAATGACAAATGAGGAGCTCGCTTCTAAGAAAGGTCATTGGGGTTTCGCGATGTCCTACGAAAAAATAGGGGCACTGACCGTTTGTGGTACGTTCGGTTGCCAAATATGCGAGGCGAACGACACACGATCGACCGAACTGATCGAGAAGCTCGTTGCGAGATCATGGCAAGTGTCGTTGTGATATCATGAGGAGGAAGGGAGATAGAAACAGATGTGAAGGAAGACAGAGAGAGACAGAGAGGGAGACAATGTAAAGCCGCGTTTCTCCTGCGAAGAGGATCACGGCGAGGGTTCGAATAAGAGGTGAAGTGGTGGGGGCGGAAAGAATAACTGGCGGAGGGGGTAAAGAGTAGGACAGCAGGGAAAAAGAGCAAGCACACGGCTGGGAGAAGGAGGGAGGAGTGAGATAGGTATACGTGATATAGGTTTTGGTTTGGGCAGCCGTTGGAATGCGGCGGCCGCGGGGCGGACGGCCATACGCCATGCCACGCCGTATGTACGTATACACTCAATGCCGTACGGCATAGCCGGTGTACAGGACCCAGCACCGCGTCCAGCACATTCCGTGCCCCAGGCAGAATCATACTTTTGTTTACGCCCACGTGCGCCTCCCTGGAACACGAATTTTCTCCTGCTCCCCTGGTAAATCACGAGCACCCTGGCCGTCATATTATTTCCACTATTGTCACGCGCATGCTCAACATATTCACACACTCCGCATGCGCGATAACCTATACGAAACACTAGAAGCCATTTCCATATTTTGGCAAAATAAAAGTTTAGTTGATACGGTAAATTTTTGACTATTTTGAATGATAGTACAGTTTAAATAAATAGGTTCTTTAAGTAATAGACTCAATAAATTCAATTAGTTAGGTTCTTAATTT